GCAGGGGAGAAGGCTGGAGGCAGCCCAGCACAGTGGGTGAAGACCAGCCAGCAGGGAGCTGAAACAGGGGAGGCACGGGTTTGCCTCGAGTCCAGAGCCACTGCTGCTGGTGCAGCTCTGCCGCTTTCTTTTTTTTACTCTCTTTCCCCAGGCTAAACTGCATTTTTAAACTTCCCTCACTATGAATCGAGCCATTCTAATACATTCCTTAGGGCCTAAGCGGTTTGACTTCAGCTGCCGTTGCGTGGCATCCTCAGATCCCTGCGTACAGAGACGTGACGGTCCCGTCCTTCCACTGGACCACCACTTCTCCCGATCTCTGATCCTGGGGCACCGGCTCCTGCTTTCGCAACTCAGCCGGGCTGTATTCCTGCGCAGGCATCAGGGATTGCTTGGCTTCCAGCTCAGCCTGCTGGGTGGTTTGCACTGCTTCTCTGTACATGTGGATCTTCCTTTTCCTGCAGGGAAGGCATAAAAAGGGAACAAGGAGTGAAGCAGCGAGCCCAGCCTGCTTCTGGGAGCAGGCATCTGCCCCCAGCCATGGTTACATCCATCTCGTCGCACCCGGGCCCTGGGATCACCATTTACTGGAGCATCTCCCCTATGAGGAAAGGCTGAGAGAGTTGGGCTTGTTCAGCCTGGGTACAAACTGAAGCATAAGAGGTTTCAGTTGAATATGAGGAAAAACTTCTTTACTCTAAGGGTGACAGAGCACTGGAACAGGCTGCCCAGGGAGGTTGTGGAGTCTCCTTCTCTGGAGATATTCAAAGCCCGCCTGAATGAAGTCCTGTGTAGATTGCTCTAGGAGAGCCTGCTTTAGCAGGGGGGTTGGACTGGGTGAGCACCTGAGGTCCCTTCCAACCCTTGCGATTCTGTGATTCTGTGATTCTGTGATCACATCAGCTGCTTACGGGCAAACCCCACCGGCTCTGCTGCGTGGCATAAGCGGTCTGAAGTGTTTGAGTACCCATGGCCACGGGGTTTACACTCAGAGAGCGCACAGCACACCACATCGCCCAAAGCAAGGCAGTAACACCCAGCAAGCCACCGTTAAAATGAGAGCGTGGCAGCCGTGTAACGTACGCTCCTTTTCTCTCATTTTAAGATGAAAGCTGTGACCAAGTGTAAGTAAGTTTTCTTCCTGTAGATGACAGCGAGTTGCTCCTCAGCTGCAGGGTCGCTGTGCAGCAGGGGAACATTGTGGGAATGCAGATGGGGAAAGGCTGGGGAGTCCTGCTCCAGAGCCCCTGTGTGTCCTGGCACTTATGGGACTGCACCTCACACCACACATTTAACATCACCTCCCTCCCAACAGCCCTGCTGGGCTGGGCAGAGCTGTTCAGATGCTTCACCTGTGAGGATCCAAGGCCCAAAAATGCGAAGCGGCTCGTTCCAAGTGACGCACGAGGAGAGCAGGGGGTCGGGCACGGTTTTACAGTCAAGCACAGTTCAAAGGGATTTTGGCTTTGCTCTTCTCCCCACCGCTCAGGGCTTGTTCCTGCCCTGCATCTCAGTGTGCTGCCCACCCTGCCCTGCCAAACCCACATGTCTTCCTGGGGGGGTCTCAGCGCACCACCACACACCGAAAGACCCCCAAATTTTCCTGACTCACCTGTTTCGCACAATGTTAATGGCCAGGAGGAGAAGACCCAAAATCATGACTGCGAAGGAAAGCGCAAGGATGGAGTAATTCCACGTTGACGCTGGGGGAAAGCATGAAGAGGCAGCGTTAGCATGCACAGAGCAGGGTGGCCCACAGAGCCTGGCCAAGCGTTTCCTGAGGGTACCCACGCTGAGAGTGCCATGGCTTTGGCTGCACGATGAGGGCAGAGGTGCTGATGTCCAGCTCAGCACCCAGAGTAGGGCACCCAGGTCATATTTATGGGGATAACCTCAAGCAACTCTCCCTCCCTGGGCAGGAGCCTTACACAACTGCTTTCTGCCACTCACAGCCCTCGGGCTCTGTATCTCTCACGCTGACCACGTCTGCCTCACGTGGCTTTTCAACCTTCCCTGAGCACTGTGAGCGGCTGTACCCGAGGGTTAGGAGCAAGGCCGAGAGCTGCAGCATCCCACCATGAGCACCACTAGATGGGCCCCTCCGCTCTGCAGCCTTTCTCGCTGCTGCCACAGCCAGGCAGGTAGAGTTTGCCTTCAAACACCGGCCAGGGTGTGCAGCACAGATGGCAGCAGATGCTCTGTCCTTGATTTTTGTGGCTTTGAAGTTGATCCTCGGGGCGCTGACCTGCTCATATTGATCTGCTCCCTCCACCCTGCCAAAATCACTGGTCATCCCAGACCTTTGCTCGCTGGCTATGCCTGGAAAGAGGCTGAACCCCTCTCTGGGAGGAGACATTATCCCAGCAAAGCCTCATGCCTGTCTTCACCCACAGCCTGCTTCTTCTGGAGGTGAGACCGAGGGTTTATGTATCTGGGGTAAACCACCTCCTTGGGTAATTCCCTTGGGCATCTCCATTAGGCAGGAGGGTTAGCAGCCAGGGACTGTGTATCTCGATCTCAACTCTCAACCCAGTAACGCCAATGGGACTTACGGTCTTCTCTGCGGAAGAACCAGAGCAAATTCTCCAGCTCTTCTTGGTCTATACCCAGCGCAAGGGTCATGTTGCCTGCTGTGTGGTCATACGTGCGTGTGCTGGCAAGGGCTGCAAGGAAGTACTCGTCTTGCTCTGCCTCGGCTGTGGAGGAGAAGAGCAGAAAGGTTCAATGGTTGCTCACTGCAACACTTGGGGCCAGAAATGGCCTTCCTGGCCTTCCTGTTGGCTCCCAGGGCTTCCCAGCATATCCCACCAAGCAGGCAGAACGCAGCCGTGAGGGCACAGCCTTATCTCATACATCAGGAAGAGGAGAGCATTTCTGGCTCATGCTGCAGATCCCGTTATGGTGGGGCACCCAAGGTTGGAAAGACCCCAGGACACTGCTTGTGCCTTTCCCCATTCCCCAGCAGCGTGTGTGCATGCAGCACTGGTCCCTGGGTGTGTGGCACTTACCTGCTTTCTTCTCGCACACGCTCCTGTCTGCAGCATCTTGCCATTGGGCCTTCAGGCCTCTCACGTTATTGAGAGCGACTGCTTTCCTGTTTGCCACCAGGTAGCCCTGGCTGCTGCCCAGAGGAGAGAGCATAGAATTCGAGCAGTCCCAGCTTGTGTAGCCTGCGCTGCCGCAGAGACTTGTCTGCACCCTGTCGGCCCCCGCCACAGAGAGGCAGCTCTGTGTGCCGTGATTCAGCAAAGAATTGCCTTGCCAAGACCAGTCCTGGAAATCTGACTCTGGATTACAGTCCTCCAGCAGTAAATTCCCATTCATCGGGCTGGCTTGTAAACACAGCTTGACTTTAGCATTTTTCATCAGAAAAGCTTCAGTGTCTGCAAAGAAACCAGCATATGAGTGTGGCCACCTGCTAAGTACAAGACATAAATGCACAGAGTGTGTAGGGCAGAGAAGGGCAGGGAAGGGTTTGGGGCTCAGGTCTTTCCAATTCTGCTGTCTAACCTTAAAGTGTCAGTTGGAAGACACCTCTGCACAGTGGAGGTGTAGATAGTCACAACAGACATTGATATTGGGTTTAAAAACCCCCAAATCTCTGTAAGTCAGGTGTCTTCCCATGTGTTGAAGAGATTGCAACAGTGCTGCGAGGCACAGGTTTAGGGTGCAACTTTCTCCATGGTTGTGCCATGGCTCAGCCAGGCTGCAGCTGGTGTATACTG